ATCCTTCCTGGCAAGGCCTCTGCCCGCCGCTCCTGGAAGCGTGCTGCGGGCACAGGGAAACTCAGCTCCTTCGCCTGCCTCTTGCCCCAATCAGCAGAGGGGAGAAGCTAAAAGCAAGAAACCTGGGGATGGGGCAGGGGAAACGACTCCAGATGAAGCCTGTTAGATCGGCAGGAAGAGCCCCAGGTGCCTGGAAGAGGGGAAGATGCTGTGTGGCAAGGCAGGAGGCACGGGCTGGGGGAGGCAGGGCTTCCAGAGTGGGGCTGGAAGCCAGAGCCTGGCTGAGCCTTGCCATAAGCAGCTTATTTTGGAGAGGACGCCTCTTGGCTGGGTGCTTGGTGCATGGAGCTGCTGCCCCTGTCCCAGCCATGCCTCGCAGGCAAACGCCGCTTGGCTTCGGCCGCAGCTGAATCTCCCCCAGCACTACCAGGACTGAATCTCTGACGCCTGAGTCATTCACTGCAAAGGGCCTTGGACAACCCAGGCACAAGCTGGCACAATGTCCAGGGCCACAGCTCACCCTGAAAGCAAGAGGAGCTGCCTGGGATCCACCAAGCAGGACACCCAGAACTCTTGCCAGCTCTGACTCATGGGGCTTGGTACAACATCAAGCTTCAACTGGGGAAAGTGAGGCACACAAGTAGGGGGCAGTTAACACCATCCATGAGATCCTGATCACCCACCCTCCACTCCCAAGAGCAGCACCAGCCCCACAGTGAGCCCAACCCCTGCAGTGCTCAGCCCAGGGGACCCAAGGCAGCCTCTTGCCAGGGGTAGGATCTGGCCCAGAGCTGGAACAGCACTGGCTGCACTCCATGGCATTCAGCCATGACCAGGGCTAGAGAAGCAAGAGGGATTGCAGCCTTTGCAGCAGAAACTGGACCTGTTTTGCCTTCACCAGTGCTCTGCTGGTGGCCGCAGGGCCGAGGAGCCAGCAGCTCCCTGCCAGCATTCCCAGTCCTTCCAGAGAGGGGCTGGGGAGCACATGCGGGGCAGGGGCTGGCTGCAGCTCACAGCCCCTCTCTGTGCCCAGGCATGCTCCCACCAACTGCAGGTTACTCACAGCTTGGCACGCCATGAATTGGGTTCAGTCTCAGCCCCTTCCCACAGAGGGGCACAGCTGCACATGGGCAGGCCCATCCAAAGGGGCAGGAGCAGCCCAGCTCCCCGCCGTGCACCAACCTGCCCTGCCCTTCAGAGCTGCACACTGCAGCATTGTGGCCCAGCTGGTTTTTCCAGAGATGAATCCAAGGGGCGAAATCAGATCTCAAGGGAAGGGAGCAGCACGTTCCTGGCTGCACAGAGGAGCTGTCGAGGCAACGCCAGGAACTGGGGCAGCTGCTGGGCACCATGGCCCAGCCAGAGGAAGACCGAGCAGGCAAGTCCCTGATCTGGACTGTACCTTTCTGCCCACAACTCCAGGAGCTGCTGCTTTACAGACCTTTGTTTGCAAACCCTGTGGCAGAGGCAACCTGCCCTGGCACTTCCTACCAGCTTTGTTTTACACCATCAGTTATTAAGCCACTAGCCCCGGGGCTGGGACAGGAGGAAGGACGCTGCTTGAGGGCCAGGGAAGGTCTTGCAGGAGGAAAGCTCTCAAAGGAAAACAGAAAAGCAGCATGTGGTAAGGGAGTTCCCTCCACACAGGGAAGGTATTTTTGGTCAGGGCTTGTCTAGACTGGAGGAACCCACACTGCATAAGCACATCAGCACCACGCAGCGAGCCTGGGCCATACAGGGCACCTGCTGCTCCTGGCCCGGACAGACCCAGCTGTACTGACGAAGGGTGGGCAAGAGGCTCCGTAGGCAGAGCTGCCCCTAGGCCTGGCATCCCACCCCCGAGGGACGGGAGTGACTCTGGGTGCTCCTGTGTCCCATCCCCTAGGCCTTGGTACCCTGCAGAGCCCAGGATGTGCCCAGGTGGAGGGAGCTTATTGCACACAGGATGCTGAGGGTCCTGCCACATCGGCAGCTCTGCCCACCGCTGGCAAAGTCCAGGCAGGACCCAAGAACTGTGGACAGAACTGGGGTGTTCCCATCTCCACCCAGACCCCAGGGCTGGGCTGTTGCTGATACTGTGCACGACACAGTGCAGCAGACACAATCCTGTCTGACCCTAAAGCCTGGTCCAGTCTGGCTCTGCCAGTGCCCCCATCACTGCCCTGCAGGGCCTGGGGCCACTGCCTGTCCCTGATGCCTGGCCCCACAGTGGGAGGGACACGGGCAGCCTGTGCCAAGGCTCCCTCACCACCCTGCCTTCCCTCGGCTCTGGCTGCCAGAGCAGCCAAGGGAGTTGCAAGCTCCAAACGTCACTTTTTCCAAGAGCTTCTCCCCGCCTTCCCTTCCCCCTTGCAGAGGCCAACTGCGGCGCTGGGGAGCACGGGAGGCTCCCAGGGTCAGAGCAAAGGCAGCACCAGGACAGAACCCAACCATGATGGATCCAGAGCCCCGTGTTGGCCCCAGTTCTTCTTGCCTCTGGAAGGGCCAGCAGCCAAAGGACAACCCCTTCCCAGGCGATACTTTGCAGGCAGTGCGGGCACAGGGTACTGGTCCAGCCCCATCTGCCAGGGCTCCCTCCCACGGGAGGATGCTGCTCTCCTTAGTCCCAGTCAAGCCCAGCTTTCCTGGCACAAATGCACGAGGGGCTCAGCAGCCCTGACAGATTCCCCTGGCACAGCAAACCTCCTTGCTAGTGAAGAGCTTCAGACAGCCCTCCTTTGGAAGAGGAAACCCTTAAGCCCATCCACTCCAAGGCCAGGAGCATCCATAGGGTAAGAGAACAGGCCTGACACAGACATTCTTTAAGGATGATCTAATTTAAAAAACACACATATTTATAAAAACACATCATAATGAAAATGCATGTAGTTTAAAAAGAGGCCCACAGTGTTCTAGTGCCGGAGGAAGCTGCGTGTCAGCGATGGGGCTACTCCGAGACCCATTCTCCACCTTCCCAGGGCATTTGGAATCCTGCATTCAGCTCCAGATCCCCATTTATTTTCCTTTACCACAGAAAACTGCTCCCTTTCCCCATATCTCTCCCCCCCCCCTCCACCCTCCCTAAAGCATCAGCTGAAGCTGCAGGAGAGACAAAGGCTGGAGCATCCCCTCGCCCCAAGCCAGGAGCAAAGCAGGCAGGGTGCAGGAAGCCCTTGCTCCCAGCACCACAGCATCCAGCACCACTGGAGCAGAGTGGAGCCTGAGCCTGCCCCTGCACCCTCCACTCACGCCAGCTGCTGGCAGCCAGGACTGCTTTTAAAGGTAATGAGGGAACAGAGACAAGCTCTGGATTGCTTTAATCCTTTCCAAAAAAGTATTGCTAACCCAGCAGCTGTCCTCCCCCTGTGCTTGTGAGGATTTGTACTCATAAGGCTGGGTAATTCGACAGGGATAACACACACTCAGCACAGGCAACCTCAGACTTCCCAACAAGTTTGCTCTTCGCTCGGTGTGGTTTGCCAGCCCGATAAACCCACCCCCACGTGCCACCCTCCCCTCCCTCCACGTGGAGGGCTGGGATGGCAGCCTTGGAGTGTGACTCAGACACAGCAAGGGACCAAGGACCTCCGCTTCCCACGGGCAGGGTGTTGGGAATCGCAGGGCCACCGGCAAGCAGGGGGAGCCAGGAGCGCGGGGATGGGCAGGGCCGTCCCGCAGGTACCTGCGGCAGCACCGGAGCCGTGGAGCCAGCAGTTGACACGGAGGCAGAGACCTCGTTCCCCTGCGGCAGGGGCGGTGGTGGCGAGGGCAGGGGCAGGGCTGCAGCTCACGGAGTGCCCCGGTAGCTGTAGTGATTGCGGTCGGGGTCGCTCATGGTGAGCGGCAGGCTGGGCTTGCGCTCCGGGTCCTTCTCGTCACACTGCCGGGGCGGACGGTGCTTGAAGAAGTCAGAAACGTAGCGGACCTGGAAAAGACAGACAGGAAGGAGGGTTTGGGGACCCCTCCAGCAGGCTGAGCTGCAGCCAGTAGCAACGGGCAGAGCATCAGGTCACAAGGGGGACACTCACAATGAGGACAGCAATGAGAGCCCCTTGGAGCAGCCCTGCCAGCACATCGCTCCAGTGGTGCTTGTAGTCGGACACCCGGGTGTAACCCACGTAGATGGCAAAGGCGATGAGCAAGAACTGGATGGTGGGACGCAGCAGTCGGGCCCACTTCCCCACCAGCCGGGCCTGCACATAGAGCTGGGCAGGGAAGGGGAGAGCAATCACCCAGTGCAGGGGGCACCTACCCGCCTGCAGACAGGGTGCTTGGGGCCCTAGACCACCTGGGAGACAAGCCCTAGGGGGTTCTCTGCCTTCCTGCAGCAGGGCACTTACCGCCAGGAACATCATGCAGTACATCCCGAAGGAGGAGTGTCCAGAATAGAAAGACAGTCTGCAGGAAAAAGGGACCAGTCAGGCCATGAGAGCAAGCACCCAGTGCCCAGCTGTTCCCCCACCTGCTCTGTGGGCTTTGCCCTGCAGCAGGAGAGAGTAGATACCCATCCAGGGATGCCACCAGACCACAGGAGCCCAGCACATCTGGGTGGGAGATGGGGACACATCCTGTGGCCCCTCAGCTCACCTGGACTCGGTGATATTCCTGCTCTCTCCCTGGCAGACATTCTCCAGCTGCACATAGATGGAACAGTTCACCTTGGACCAGTCAGGATTGCAGACAGCCAGGAAGTTTGGCCGCAGGCGGCCGATCATGTATTTGGCCAGGTCAGTCAGGGACTGGCTGATGGCTCCACCAAAGAGGAAGGTCCCCACCACCTTGTAGAGGGCAGCCAGGTAGTTGTTGAACTCTGATTTGGAATAAAGGCGCTCCGTGTAGACCAGATAAGCCTCCCCTAATGAGATCTGCAGAGACCAATGAGCAAGAGGTGAGGGTTTTGGGCCACAAGCAGCTCCCCAGCGCCCAGGTATGGGATGCTCTCGGGGTCTGCAGAAGAGGAGTCCTGGCTCACGGGGCCTTTCTCCTCCCTGCAGGGAACCAGCCCCACGGGATGTGTCTCACTGCCCCAAAGGGAGATCCTGACCCCCCAAAACACAGGGCTTGACCTGAGAGTTCTGTTGATCTACTAGGGGTCTGGAGCTGGGCCGTGCTGGGACCCAGCTCCTGGATGCAATGTGCCAGAATGACCCCGTCCCGGAGATAAGGGGTAGGTGCTTCCTTACAATGACAACAGTGCAGGTGATGGTCACTCCAGCCATGAGGCCATGAGTGATGGTGTCTGCCTTGTAGGGGTAGCGGATGGAGTCATCGCTGCAGTAGAAGCCCCGCTTGTATGGGGAGTTCACCAGCGTCAGGATGATGAAGGGCAGAGATGCTGCAAGGCAGAGAGAAGGTGACAACTGGGGACATTTGTCCACAGGCTCCACACAGGCCCCCAGCACTGTGCAATCTTGCCCCTGGGTCTCCGTTTCCTTCTGGGGACACAGCCCCGAGCTGCCTGTCCCCAGGGCAGGAGGACTCACACCCCCAGCACACTGGCCCTGCTGCTGATACGGCCCTATCAGAGCTCACAGCTGCCTGTGGAGCTCAGATACCACGGGACACGGTCGCAACCGGGCACCTGCAGAGCCCTCAGGGCTGCCCTGCTCCTCCCCGGGCACAGCCAGTCCAGGGCCTCAAGCAGGAGACTGGGGCTGATCTTGTGCCCTCTCCTCACACTCCCCAGAGTGTTTCGCTGAGAAGGACAAAGCTCATTAACATTAATGAGTACAGGCATCTTGCAAACCTGTTTTACAGCAGGGAAAGGCCCCCAGGCCGAAGCTGGTCCCAGCAGGACTCTGTGCACTAGCTCTCCAGGAGCTGGTGTGAGAGATGCTGGTGGGTGACTCAGCCCCAGCACGGTCAGACCCTGGTGTTCTCACCCACCCGCAGCCCGTGCTCCCACCGGCTTCTCCTCTCCCTTTTCTACTGGCCAGGAGCCAGGAGATGCTGCAACCGGCTGGGTCAGTCTGGGCGAGGAGGCTTTTCCACCCGGGCTGCCTCAACCCTGGCCACTGGTATCTTGGAGCTCATGTCTGGACGGGATCGTCCCCGAGATCAAAAGAGGTTTGGGGGTATCCACCCCACGCAGCGGGTATGTCACATCGCCGG